ATGTTTATCATAACTGTTGAAAACGGTTGTGCTGCTTAATATTGTTGTGGAGACTGTGATACAGGACATTATATAAACATTACTTTTACTGACACGTTTGATCAGTTTAATAGATCTTTGCTAAATAAAATTAACTTTTAATAAAACTATAAAGCACAAATATATGCATTATCATCATCATCTCAGTGTTGGATCAGCCCCATTACCCTGAGAGCTCAGTGATTTACACATGAAGTGTAGAGACTTCATCGTCTGTTAATACATTTTCCCATGATGTCCGAGTTTCTTCCATGCTCCATCATAAAGTTCCATCTCTGGCTTTTCCATAGTCTGCAAAATAACATGAATCCCTCCCTGACATTAAACAGGACTGTTCAATTCAAAGGAATATTTTCCAACTTGAACTGAACAAATATTCTAAGAGAAGCAAATTACTAATCACCACAAAAGCCTATGTATACTAAACAGCGACGACCCAAACACACATGCCCTTTCTCTTTGTCCTGTTCCAGCTAATGCCATGTCACAGATCACATGACAAACAGCAAAAGAAGGAAATCTAACTGATGACATCGCCTAGTTTATAAACAACTTTGCTTTGGCAACACTGTGACAAATCTCATAAACTGCCAATCCCTGATTCCAAACCCCACCCACTGACTCATGATTCCCCTCAGTGAATAAAGCCTCGTATAATCAAACACACACAAACATGCACACTGTTTATGAACAAATTTGTGATAATAACCGATAAAATATTAAAATTCAAGATGCCTTTGTATACCATGAATATTCATATTCACTATCGTTCATAAAATATCATAGTTTGGGATCAGTAAGATTGCTTTTTGTAAGAAATACTTTTATTCAACACAGATGGATTAAACTGATCAAAAGTTACAGCAAATAAATTTGCTACCGGAGATTTTCATTAAAAAAATTCATTGAAGAACGCAAAAAATGTATTACGGTTTTCACAAAAATATGAAACAGGACAACTGTTTCCAATATTGATAATAATAAGAAATATCTTTTGAGCAGCAAATCAGCAAATTAATGATTTCTGAAGCATTGTGTGACACTGAAGACAGGAGTAATGGCGGCTGAAAATTCAGCTTTGTCATTAGAGTAATAAATTACACTATAAAATATATTAAAACAGAAACGGTGATTTAAACTTTTTACCATATTTCACAATATACTGTTTTTTTTCTGTATTTTTGATCAAATAAATGCAGCCTTGGTGAGCATAAGAGACTTCTTTCAAAAACATGAAATCTTACCAACCCCAAACTTTTGAAGAGTAGTGTGATTATTAAAATGTTTATATATGATCACGGAATGCAAAATAAAACGTATCAGATTTCTGAAAGTGATTGTCATATGTTTCAGTCCTTATACTTCTCTCTGCCCTAAAGATTAATGAAGACCATACATTATGCCACAGTACGTGAACAATGCCAACCTCTCAGCATTACCTACAATTTCAGACAAAAGCTGATGTTGACAAATAAATTGAGCCCATATAAAACCTTTAATTACAATAATATTAATTTCATCTGTTTGTTGTATGACCACAAAGTGCATTATTTATTGTTTTTCTTTTTAAAGCAATAACATCATTAAAACAATGAACTTTTAAAAAGTATAATATTAATAATCATGAATGTTCTGTGCAGAAATTAGGTAGCTCAGCTACATTACATATGTGCATTTGTTTGCAAAGGTGATATGCTAATATATCAGCATGAACTATGTGCTCAGTGTCCAGAACTCTGAGCTCTGATTGGATGTTAACTGGGGTCTTTGTGATGGCTGTGGTGCTGTCCTCCTCCTGTGATTGGCTGAGCTGTTCATTGTGCTCAAAAATATGGTGGTCTATGTGGTGGCTGAAAAACAAGAAGAGGAGCTTTTGAGATCTACACAAGATGTGCTTGCATTTAAGATCTGCAGATTTATTGTGATCCAGCAGAATGACACCAGAGAAGGAGCATCCCAGACCTCAAGAGCCAAACCTACAACCCTGAAAGCAATGCTTATGTCACCAACACTCTCATAAAACAAACTCCACCAGATCAATGCAGAGCCATCACCAAACAAACCCATCATATACACTTATGAGCAGACTCGTGCATGCAAAATCTCTTTATAGACCTATTTAAACAGTCATAATTGCTCACCAGCATTCCACCTGGAGCTGCAGGCCCTCCATATGGTCCCATGGGCCCTGGACCGAAGCCTCCTGGTGGGCCAGGTTGAGGAGGGAAGCCCCCTCCGGGTGGACCCCAGGATCCTGCTGGTACTGGGGGAAACATTCCTCCTCCATATCCTGGGCCTCCATCTGGTGGAAAGGCACCAGGGCCTCCTGGGCCGTACATGCCAGGCCCAGATGGACCTGGCGGGTAAGGCACATTTGGATATGGGCCCTGTGGAGCCCCAGGTGGGGAGGGGAACTGTCCAGGAACGGGGTATGGCACGGGTGCCCCACCTGGTGGGAACTGACCTGGCATTGAGGGGAACTGTCCTGGAGCTCCAGGGTTGGAGGGGAACTGTCCAGGTACGCCTGGTCCTGGAGGGTATCCACCCGGGGCAGCAGGGGCTCCGGGAAACTGGCCCGGGGCTCCTGGGCCAGGTGGAAAGGGACCTGGGGCAGATGGCCCAGTCTGAGGGAAGCCAGGTACTGTTGGTTGGGCAGGGCCTCCTGAGGGTGGGAAATGAGGGCCACCAGGGGCTGCACCAGGCCAGCCAGGATTAGTGGGGGGCGGAGCCCCATTTCCAGGAGCTGATGGATTGGTGTGTTTATTTTTCGATGCTTCACTAGAAACATCATCTGGGATTGCGTCAGCAAGCTTCAGAAAGAGAATGCAGAAAAATCACAGTAAAAAAAACACTAGCTGAGAGTTATCAGAGAGACTTTTGGTCTGTTATTATCATCGCAAAGCCAAAGACTAACTAGGACAAACAGTGGGGTCCAAAAGTCTGAAACCAGATTAAAAATATGAGATTGAAAACAAAATTAAACCTGTAAATAAACAGAAAATTGTAGGAGTGTGTAAAAAAATAACACTATGATGTTAAATTAATGATTTTTAATATTCCACAATATTTCTAGGTATTACTAGCTAATTAAATAAACAAATTTGTGACATTTGAAATTCTTTTGGCAAAAGGTTAGACATTTTTGCTTCCACTGAAGTACAAGATGCTCTGTGGATCAAATAATGCTGGACAACATGATCATCAGGCTTGTGGAGTTCATGCAGCTTAAGTGCTGCTGTCATTAAACAATTTTTTTTTATTAAATATGTTTTACTTTAACTTATACTGTTCTTATGCTGATAATTAAAATAATTATATTTAATTATAATAAAGTATAACAACATTTCATTTTATATATTTTTAATAAAAATAGGTAATTTCTATAATTAAATTATAAAAGAATGCATAACAGAAACTTTTTCACTAGTGGGTTTATGCTGGTCTCACTGTATTATACACTGGATATTCTGGTATATCTCTACTATTTTTCATTTAATTATTGAATATATGCGCTGAATAAAGATATTATATCAATTAAACTGAGAAATTTAAATAACTGGGTCTACTATTACAGTCATTTCTACTGCTGGTAACACGGATAAAATGTCTTACTTTACTAACACAGGAGAAAATACAGCCTAAACTAATAAAAATGAACTATTGAAACTATTGAACAAGATTATTTAGAAAACACTTACCGAAAAGTCTGCCATGGCCTAAACAGATACAAACAGTGACACTTAGTGACATGCAGTTGTATACAATTCAGATTCTGTCATAAGTCTACATGTACTAGTTATACAGACGCTAACAGAGCGTAACGTTAACGTCACTGTATCAAACACACTCTCGCAACTATTTAAGTTATACTTTACAATGTAAGATTAAATCAGGCATTCCAACTCCACATAAATTAATCTGTGTAGTGCTATACATGCGCATTTGAGTGAAATGTTAGCAGTTTTGAGGGCATCAGTAACGTTACCTCGACTGGATCAGGGCCTGCGGTCCGAGGATTGGGGGTTCAGAGCAGCACCAGGTCCCGTCGCCTGAAAAGATCCTAAAGTCAGAATTACTCAACTCTATACAGGAAGTGAGGTGACAACTGGAACGTTGAGGGTTTTCAACAGCGTGTTTGAAAACATTGTGAGCGCCAAATAATATGGATGACACATTAACTACTGTAGTTAAAGGAACAGAACGATCTACTGTGTTTATAGATCAGATATGAGCGTTATGCAGGCGCATGCTCCCCCGATGGGCGTGTCCTCTGAGGGATGGGCCGGCTCATCTGCGCATGCGCAGGTTACTGTGACGAAGGGGGCGTTTTCACCCCTGGGAGGCTTAAAATATAACAACCATAATAACAACTGGCTTAGAAACTTTTCCAGTTTTCTAAATGCCATTTTCCACAAATAGAGCCTTGAAAAGGTGAGGTTTTTCCAACAAATGGTGAATGTTGACAAAATGTTGATTGTTTCGGGTTTGTAGTTACTGATACATTTACATTTTCCATAAATTAAGAAAAATATGATATTTTTTTAATGCTTATATCATATACAAATAAAAAAGACTCTAATGCTTAAAAAGGAGTGGGACTACAACATCTTAATAGCTACATGTCTGTAGCTATTTCTAAATGTGCTTTTAAGTGAAATAGGTTCTGTATATTTTATTATTATTATTATCATCATTTTAAACACCAAAGTCACTTGTACATTGAATATTACTTTTACACTACTGTAAATAAATTAATTATGGCACATTTGCGTGCATTTCATATACTCATTTATTTTATTTTGAACGAATAGCTGGCAATATATCTAAATCCTCTAATTTCCCCGCAGGGTGGAGAAAAGTGTGCATCCGATAGTTCTTTCCATGAGCATCAGTTCATGCCTAAATGCTGCTGTTCTGGGATCAGACAGATCTCGTCCTTCTATGGGTGAAATAAACTGATCCTAGTACAGACTTTTATGCAAATTGTGGCGCGTTCCAGTGCTCTGATTGGTCGTACGAGCGTCACGAGACGCGGCACGGTAGAACTCCTGCACTGCTGAGCTTGTGCTGTCTGTGAAAATGGTGAGTACAAAAACTGCCTTGGATTAATAAAAACATTTGTATGGCGGCCCTCTCTTGTAGGATGTATAATAACACGGAGGCATTTACAAATAACGCCGTACGCCTCAACGGTCTGGGATACGTGTATGTTAGAGGGGTTGTTTTTTTCTGAGCCCTGTTGCAGTTCCACCCCAGTGCTTTGTGATGAGCTGCATGTCAAACCCTCTCTGGCATTACACCGACTTCATAAAGTTTACCAAAATAAAGGCACGTTTGGCGTTAAATATAAATCCCCAAATCTCTGTTTTGAATTTTCATGAGATAGGATCGTTTTACATAATTGCGATATGATGGAATTCCGGCGGCTCCGGGGGAATTCTCATTTCCTGTTGCAGCCGTGCTCACACTTCAGTATTTCAAGGAAATTTGGGAAATCTGCTAAGCGACAAAGAGACGGTGTGGCTCCTTTACTTTGAATGGCACGTCAAGCCACGATCAAACAATGTCATCAAATCAGAGCAGAAATGACAAGCAATGTAATGAAATAAACGCGGATTCTTTGCATTCCACCAACACTGCACGTCAAAACACGTTTGCCCACTTCGTCCGCCTCATCGACAGCTAAGAACGTGATTGTTCTCCTGATGACATCAGTGTGATGATGACCTACACTGGTTGTCATGGTGCATGACTTTTGTGAACTCCTTTTCCTTGTGATGTTGTGTGCCAGAGTAGACAGGTGGTTTTATTGTTGAGTTGGCTGTATTGAAACAGCGGTGATTTTAGGTTTGTTAACAGAATTACACAATCAGAAGAAATAGTCAATAGTTTCCATCCAGGTCAATATTTGAAGGCTCCACTATCTAAGCTGATATGTACATCTGGTAGTACTAAAAATAAATAAACTCATAAAATGATGTCAGTTTAATGTTGCACATTTGTATTTTTGTGTTTACAGCATTTGTACACATTTGTATTTTTTAGTATTGTAATTAATATTTTATTAATATAACTACATTTATATAATTGTAAGACTTATTGTGCCCCCCCAAAACTTTGCAAAGGCCCCCAGTTGAGAACCAATACTTTGACAAACTCTGAACCCTGAGTGTGTCCCCTAACCTGTATGACTCCTAATCAAAGAGATTAATTGGGAGTTTCTCCAGTTATGTAGCCGGTTATGAATTATATATACACTACTACTATTAAAAAGTTTGTACGCAATTAACTAAGCAGACTGAAAATAGTAATAAAGCTGACTGACATGTGGAAAATAGTAACAATAATGTGTGTGTGTGTGTGTGTGTGTGTGTGTGCAGAGTGAGTCTTTAGTTGTGTGTGAGGTGGACGAAGACCTGGTGAAAAAGTTGCGGGATTTCCGCTTCAGGAAGGAGACTAATAATGCCGCCATCATCAGTGAGTCAAACTGAAATTAAACTCTTACACACTCAAGCTGTTCCATATATGCTTACACTTTCTCATATAGCGTAAGGACTGAATGCTGATATTGCTGTTTTGGTCCTCTGGTTACAGTGAAGATTGATAAAGACAAACAGCTGGTGATTCTGGAGGAGGAGCATGAAGTAAATACACACTGTTATTGCATCAACATGCAATACATAGCTTTCTAGTGGGACTAATAATTCAGCAGATTAGTGGTGTAAACCTGGGTTTGATTTCTCCTTGTAGGATATTTCCCCTGAAGACCTGAAGAATGAGCTACCAGAGAGACAGCCCAGATATCCTTCACTAAAACAAAACTCACTCTGTGCAGTACTGTGATTAAACTCATGAAATGTGTCTGTTCAACATTAAACAATCACTGGATTCCTTAACCTGTGACACATTTGTAGTCTACAGCTATAAGTACCAGCACGATGATGGGAGAGTGTCCTACCCTCTGTGTTTTATCTTCTCCAGTCCTGTTGGTAAAGAAAATACACATATTCAATAGTCAACATGCACAAACCCTGTTATATGAGGCAGTTTCTCCAAAATGAAACTTCTCTAAAATGAAACTTGATTTCCCAGGATGCAAACCTGAGCAGCAGATGATGTACGCCGGCAGCAAAAACAAACTGGTACAGACGGTTGAACTGACCAAGGTGAGCTCTAACTAACACACCTAACCTTACAGCCAGTGATGTTGTGGAAATTCTTTTTTTAATTTGTCTGTATCTGCTTTCTCTCAGGTGTTTGAGATCAGGAACACTGAAGACTTGACAGAGGAGTGGCTCCGAGAGAAACTGGGCTTCTTCCACTAAGAAAGGACTGAACAAGCTAACATTCGTGTTAAGAGTGACCGAGATGGGACCATCACCTCCAAACGGAGCGAATACCATAGTCCATCTAATAATGTCTGTTTGTGTATGTTTGAATGCTTCTGCCCAAACTCTAAACCCGCCTGTACCAGTTTAAGATGACAGAAATATGAGGTGCAAAGAAATGAAAATGTGAAAGCAAATTCCACATATACACTGAACAATTCCTTGGATTTTTAAAACCATTCCGCTCTTATCTCTGAGCAGTAACGTATGTACTGGCCTGCATAGGTGGTCCAGTCTTACTGCCATGATAGTTGGATGACATGTTGCAATTTTATGTCAGCTATCCTTCATGATAGATGACATGGCATCAGATTTAAACATTGTAAAAATCTATAATGTAGCATGTTTTGCCCGTTTTGGTATAAAATCACATAAGTCTTCATGTAATGCCCTGATAAGGGCCAAACATTTTCTTCCTTTGTAAAGCATTTTCTAACTTTAATTTGACCAAACATGAATTATTTTGGTTTGATATGTGTTGAACAGTAATGGTAGGTGAAGAGGTCAGAAGTCCTACTGATATTTTTGGGAGAAATCGTTTACTATTTCTGACCTGTTGTCATAAATTCATTATTTTTTGCCTTTTTAAATCTGCTCATAGCGTGATAAACAAATCTCGACTAAAGATCTAGAATCTGAGGACAATTGGGTGAAAGTTCTGGGACTAATTTTACTTGATTTAGTGTTTTTGGGAGAGGGGACATAGAATTTGTCACCCGGATGTCATTAATCACAGATCTGCCCTACCTTTTTGGAGATGTGTAGGTTTAGATGTACATCGGCAGAGATGTGCTATGGTATTCTGCCACAGGCAGGCAATCATCTAATTCCTCTGTTAGTTATTCTAAATTAATCTTTCTCACTGTCCAACTAAACACTGGAATAAAACTGGTGTCACTATTCTTAAGTTTATTCAAAGCATCACTATTTCCGTACTTATGTAAAAAACAATCTTTCTATTGGCAAAATGTAAACACTGGAAATTTCTTTAATGTTCAAAGCTTAACAAGGTAGTATGAATAATTTAAGGAAGTGATGTTATTATGGGTTTGATAAGTAATACCTCGGCAGATCTCAGATCTTTCAGAATTTGTGAGCTGTAATGTGGGTCAGGCTCATCTCTACATCTGTAGAACCTGTAACACCTGTGATTAGTGCTGTTTCCTACTAAACACTGTTTGCTCACTTTGATGGCTTGTATGATGTGGACATCACATGATATGTCCCATACAGTAGTCAACTGTGTATGTGTTTAACATTTAATTTTTAATGACTGAAGAAGCTTTTACTGATCATTTATAACTCAAGTTCTCTCTTGAAACCAGAAAAATGGTTAACCTTTCAATATGTCTCAATTACATTTGTCTGCTGTTTTGAATAATTAAAGTGTTCTTGATTGATATTGACACCTTGTTCTATTTTTAAAGGTTGAAATAATGTCTGATACAAAATACCCTGAACAAAATTATAAACGCAACACTTGTTTTTGCCCCCATTTTTCATGAGCTGAACTCAAAGATCTAAGACTTTTTCTATGTACACAAAAGGCCTATTTCTCTCAAATATTGTTCACAAATCTGTCTAAATCTGTGTTAGTGAGCACTTCTCCTTTGCCGAGATAATCCATCCACCTCACAGGTGTGGCATATCAAGATGCTGATGTTACGGGGCTGAGAAGACGTGAGACGTGCGGATCCATATGCAAGCTTTATTAACATCAGAGGAGGTCAG